TGGTGTGAACTTTACAGTTTGTTGTGATTTGGTTTTAAGTAATGGAAAGGTTGGACATAATTTGGATTTTTCAAAAGAAACTCAACATGTTAAAGTGAATGTTTGTAATCCTGATTTGGTTTATCAAGGTGTTTCAAAACATCCAAGATTTACAATGGGTGCTTTCTTAGAAGCTTTGGATACTTTATTTTTCATTTCAAATGGAAAGAGACAACATTTACAATATGAATTATTTGGAAAACCACACAAAGTCACCTATGATTATGCAAAGAAAGTTTTAATTGACCAATTGAGATCCTCACATGCTGGTCATGAAGATAGAGATAATGTCGATGATATGACTATTTATGCAATTGGTGACAATCCATTGAGTGATATCAAAGGTGCAAATGGTGCTGGATTTGTTTCCATGTTATTGAGAACTGGAGTTTGGCAATCAAGTGAAGAAAATGATTCACAAAATCCTGCAACTCACGTATTTCCATCTGTTAGGGAAGCATTTAAATTTATTTGTGATAAACATTTATAATCGAATTATTTTACAACAATATTTACAAAATTGGAAAGGCTATACATATTCAGTGATCAATTCTCTTGGCATTCAGTCTGCAAAATAATCTTTCGCTTTTTGTTTTGGATAACTTTGATCTGATCCATTCTGTTTTCACTGTTGACAGATATTCGTGTAAATCAGTTGTGGTTGACTTTATGTGTGAGTTTTGCAAAGTGATGAGTCTGGCAGGCATTTTGTTGTGTGTTTCTTGTTGAGGTATTTTATTTTGAATTAATTGTAAATTGCATGTGGGATCTATTTAAAGATTTTTTACCTGTTCCAATATTTTATGTAATTCCAAAAAACAATGGAATTTTTTAATACACGGACGCAACGCTAAGAAGAGAGCAGGTCGTAGATATGTATGACACATGGGAGGAGCTGTGCCTCAATTCCAACATATGGGACAAGGTGCTCAACAAGTTCCTCAAATTCATAACCAATACTATAACCAACAATCTCAAGCTCAACAAGGTAGGATAAACCAACTAGCCAACTCAAATAATGGCATGGGTCATTTTCAAGTTCCAATGAACAATCAACCACAAACCCAAGGAGGTGGTCATCAACCTCACAATAACTTCTAAGCTAGATTCCATATGTGTATACTAAATTATTAAATAACAAATAAATAACAAATAAATTATTATTCCTCTTCGTGTAACAACTCATTCATTGTCATTGGTTATTTTAAGGCAATGAAATATATATTATAGGAAATGTTTATGTTTATTGTACTTGCTAACAAGGAGGGTGGATACTATGAGGAGATGGTTCCAATCCTCTCATATTTGGGAAACTCTTTAGCCCACTTGATCATGTTATATGAGCACGAGCTTCAGCATAGTGAGTCCTTAAATGAATCACATTTTGTTAATAGTGATAACCAATTTGATAACTTAATCAACCCACTATTGGGGGAAAGTGAATTGTTTAAGTCAGCCGAACTGTCATTAGCATTATTTAGGGAATTAGAGGAGGGAATTATTAACAAAAGAATCATCAAAACAAACAAGAGGCTTATCGTTTGTCCTAGGAGGCAAACTATTGCAAATGATTGTTCTCTTTTCAAGGAATGCTTGAACAAAAAGTGCATGTGAGCTAACGGTTTTGAAAATTAATTTATCTGGAGCTTGAAGTTGTACTTTTTCTAAGCTTTCTTTTATGTGAGGTAGACCAGATAATCCAATTACTTCCAAAAGTGGTTGATCAGTCTCAGAAAAGCTCTTTAATTTTAACATCAAGGAATAGGTACTTGATGTTATCTCAGCTACCTGTTCCGAAAGGTGGCTCATTAAGCACCATTCGCTTACCCTGTTATCAGAGTTTTGTAACAGTGTTTTAAAGCCTTGTTTGATGATTTCCATGAACTTGCTCTTCCAACTCTGTAGTGTGAATAAGCTCATTTTTTTCAGTTTGGGCACTAACGAAAACTTTTTTTGGAAATATTCCATTAATAATAAGGCCTTATTAGTTAATTTACCAAAAGTATTTTATTTCCACAACACATGGTGGTAATTTAGTTTTGAAAATGTTTTGCATCTCATTTGCAGTTCAATCCATTCTATCAAAGTCTGAACATACAAACTATCCATCATTACAATGATTAAAATAATTCAATAAAGTTCTTCAAAGTAAACTGATTGAATGCGTTTTTCTGAAAGGTAATTCACACCCTTCCCGCAACTTTCGCCACCGACTCTTCTTGATGGTTTCAGGTTGTAAAGATATTGAAATAAGGAACTAAACATGACAATGCATAGAATAAAATTAAGGCTTGAAAAATGAATTTAGAAGTAATATTTTAAATTTTAATGATGAATAATGATTTTTTTGGATGTTAAAGAGCTAGTTGTTTGATGATATATAGAACATTGTATCAATCTTTTAATATTTTACAAATGATCAACAAAAAACTTCTCATCAAACCCAGTTCCATTCTTAACATTTTATTTTATGAAATGTTTAATTTACTTTCCTCACAATAAGAGGCCAACCAACTTGAATGACAACGAACTTGTGGATAGTTTTATCATTATTGCCAAGTAATTCTTGTTCTTTTTTGGCATATTGTTTAACCTTAGAACTTGCCTCATTTAAGATACTTTCAACTTTAACATATTTGTTTGCCCATTTTTGAAAAACTAGCATATTCAATAACTGGCTTTCATCAGCTTGTAATAATTCTTTAAATTTTTCCTTAAACATATAAGGTTTCCAAATTCTAATAGTAGAATATTGTGATAAATACATTGGTCTCAAACGTTTCAATTTAATGATAAATATGTCATTGTCGGTTGAAATAACAAGGTCAGCTCTTAATTCAGTATATTCTTTTCCATTGATATGATAATTTGTATATTCCTTTTCTGCTCTAAAAGTAAAATCTTTGCTTCTATATAAAGAATATGATCTCAATGCAGATTCAATACAAGATTGTAAACTTCTTTCAGACATATCATTGTCAAACACTGTTTCTTGCTTGCTTAAAATACTCCAAAGTAATTTTTTCAAATTATCTTGAGTTGGTTCATTAATAAAAGTTGATATATCACTTTCACGTAAAGATATAAGTCTACGTAACTGTTCCAAATATTGAACCTTTGCAATTTCATTTGGAATTAACAATTGTTTTGGATTCATTTGTTTTGAGGATGATTCTGTGAAAGTAATCATACCATGATAATACATGAATGATAAAGCATTATCACGAATCTTTTGTATATCTTCTTCATTGGATGGTGGATCAATAATCTCTCTTAATTTCAGTGAAGGATAAATTGACTCGGTTACTTCTATATAATCTTTTGAAAGTAATTGTTGAATAATATCATTCGATACAACTGATGATGCCAAAGTTGCAAAAACGTTCTCACTGATCATTGTGTTGGTATCTGTTAATATTGATAATGGAATTTCTTGTTTTTGTAGAACAGCATTTCTGAAAGGTTCATCTTTTACAAGTTTGTTCAAAAAGAACATTGAAAGAGTTGTGTTGAATAGAGCATGTTTTGAACCAGGAAAATGATAACCTTTATAATACTTTTTCATGGTTGAAATGGTAATATCTTGATCATTTCCAATAATATCAATGTTATTTAATGCCATTCTCAAATCATTTTCTGTAAAACCAACCAAACCACCAAATATCTTATCAGAGGAAATATTACTGGAAACATTATATCCAGATGCATCAGCAAGAGCAATAGGAGTGATACCAGTGATGATACTACGAAAATCTTGTAAACCAGTAGCGGAAGACTCTTTCAATCTTTCAAAGAAAGAACGAATTGGTGAAGATGTTGGATCTCCTCTCTTTCCTTCAACTATTAATTGATATTTTTCAGGATTTTCAAATATTAATTTGTTTGCAAATCTATCATATTCATCAATTAATACCATTAATTTGCCTTTTCTCTTGACTAAAAGTTGGATAAGTTTTTGATAAGTATCAAATGAATCATTTTGATTAATGCTTACCTCACCACCCATACCATAACATTCCAAAAATCCTTCAATGGTTGTATTGATTTTTCTCATGAAGCCGTTGATTAATATCTTCCGTTGTACCATCAACTTGAATAGAAAAATCTAACTTTAAAACATGATATTGATTCTTTCCAGGTGTCCAATTCTGTTCATCACCAATCCATAAACCAGAAAATAATTCATCAAATTCATCTTTCTTGTTAACATCATAATATAATGAAAGCATTGATAGTAATAGTGATTTTCCCCATCTCGGAGGACGAACCAAAAATAATTGATCACCTGCCTCCTCTAATCGTGGAATTAAATTAGTTTTATCAACATAAAATTGTTTACTTCTTCGGATGGAACCAAAATCTGATTTTCCATATGGAAAATATGGTACTAATAATTTTTTATCATTAATGTTGTTAAATTTAATGTTGTTATTTGTTTGTTTTAGAAATTTTAATGAATTTGAATAGTTTTTAAATTGATTAATTGTACACTTATTATTATTGATGATTAAATTATTAATTTTGAAGATTGGTGTGTTGTGCGGTGTAATTTTAGGTGATGCAGTAAATAATTGCAATCCTGATGATTTTGTGCTGATTTTACTAAGGACGTTATGTTTCATATTTTTCCATTTTTTAACCAATCTTCAAAATGACAACATTCACTGTGAATTCTACTTTTCGGTTCGTTCATCCCAACACACTTTGAGGGAAAGTACACCAAAAACTCATTGGCACAACTGTTCCCAGCACACTTTTAAGTTTGTAAATCAATAAACTATTAAGAATATTTACCAATGCCCCTTCTCCTTCTTTTTCTTTGATAGTACTACCCTTTATCATGCTGGGAGAGTGTTATTTATGATTCGGAAGAGAGTAATAACCTTTACAAAATGTGATGGTCAGTCTCATAACATTTTCAAAATGTGCTGGGAACAATTCAGTTCGGTTAAAATGCAAAGTTGTAGAACAGCACATGCCTTGAACTCATTCAGCAAGTGGCAATTCATCTCCGTTCTATTACAGTTGATCAGACACTATTTGTGATGTTTCTGCCATCACTGACTATGTTGTTTAACTGTTATTCAAGGTCGCTAGGAAGCAACAAATGTTGTCCATAGATTATCAACTATAATAGAATGCTTACACACTTCTTGAGTATAATTTGTTGTGAAAAGATGGTGACTAAAGGAAGTGGAATTACTAAGAAAAAATTTAGTAAAAATTCAAAACAACATTTTAGGTTGAATATTGGTTAAATCACTCTCTCATCTTTTCACAATATGTCATTTATATATATTTCTAATATATTTGAAACTTCAAGTGATACCTATTCCTGTATTTTGTGAACGATTATGTTGAAATTATTCTTGTCAACATTCTTTAAGCAAACTGTTATACAATACAATTTATTAGAAGTTTGTTTTACCAATACTTTCAAAAAGGATTTACAGTTGGAATAAATGGCACAGCTTAAATATTGAATTGT